AAATCATCATGTTGTAGGCTGTCAATTAATGTAAATAACCACCCTTTGGCTTCCGGTTCCCTTATGTTATCAACAGTTTCAGCAAGGTCTGGGTTCCAACGCCCATAGGCATCTCACCATATTACAGTGAAGGAGTGAGTGCTGTCATGAATCGTCCGTTCCACAAAGGCCACATGTAGACATTGTCGCCATGTTTCTGTGAGTTAGAAGATCAGCCGTGGGCAGAGATTGCTGGGCAAGCCTCCATAAGAAAAATTTAACCTTAGAAGGGACATTGGCCTTCCACATACTTGTCCATGCCTTCAACTCACTCTCCGAATTTGAAGAATCTGCTGTTTCCTCAAGCCAAGCTTCCCGGTGAGCCTTTTTTTAGGGGTTCCCGGCGAGCCTTTGTGGATACTAACATTCTTCTAAATGGATCAATTGCGCAATTAGGTAACACATACGGCCTAGTAGCACCATCGTGTCCACCGGTGCCGTTTATTACCAGCCCGGCCCACTTCCAACAAAACCCAAAGATACTCCACACAGGCGGCGGCCGGTGCGCGCGGGGGCGAGCAGGGCAGTGCCGCCGTGGCGTTCGGTTCCGGCAGCCGGCACGCGATGGCGACGCCGCTGGCCGCCCTCGCTGGAATTGAGTGATCGCCGTGTTACCGTGAGGCTGTGATCGATGTCTGCTGTGTACGGAGTACATGTTTAGTACCACATCGCCAACTTTGTCCAACGCCCCACAGCATAAAGCGCGGCGGTCGGGAGCCAGATCCACCGTGCGGCAAGCACGGTAGAAAGCAACAGCCTATTGGGCTATCATTCTCTTGAGCTACCCCGACAAGGTAATTACTCTCTCTATGATATGATTCAAAGCACCGCCCATCACTTGATGGATTATCCAGACTAACCCATGGAAGCCCGTCGTCCCTGCAGGGGCGGCCTTTTTTTTTTTGTCTGGTTTTTTCTCCCACAACCTTGTCAACCGTCCAGTTTATCATGATGCTGGTTATTTACGCCACGCTGAGGTTGCGCAGGAATTAACATTCTGCATGTTGCATTATGCAGTAGGCAAATCCTTTTGCGAAGCTATAAACACAATACATTGTCCATTCCAAAGAGAGAGAAAAGCTGAATTGTTCATATCAAAGGCCCAGCTCAGCGCACACGCCCAGGTCCCCAAATAAGAACGTGTCAACCTCCGCCAAACCGCTCATACCCTCTTCATCGCCGCACCCGAAATATGTCTGCACATCGTCCGGGAAGCTACACCGCATTGACGAATTTCTAGGCTTCGTCTCCCGCCGCTGTGTCGTCGGTGGTGGCGGTAAGGGGGGACACGACGACGAAGACAGCGAGTTGGTGCTGATCTGGGAGGCTGCCACCCGCTCCATCATCTCCTTCAACCTGGGCGCTTTCAGCAGCGGGCCGAGCGCCGACGCCGCATGAGACGTTGGACTCGCCTGGGGCGGTTGCAACCGATCATTGACACAACGAGGGGTGTTGAGACCGCCCGCGTCGTCAGCGTGGCAACAGTGATGCCACTTGATGTAGCGACTGACGTCGAAGTTGGTGACAGCATTGAGGCCGCAGTGCTCGATGGCGGCGATGTCGTACGCCATGGCTGCCTCCTCCTGCGTCACTGCCACACACAAAAAATGCATATCTCAGTGGTATTGCATGGTAACAAAAAAAAAATCGTTTCACGCAAAGAAATCCCTATGAAATCGTCGGTAACTGCCAAACGCCACGATAGATCGAGTGCCCGGTCAAATGACAAGTACCAAGGTTCCCAGCAGGGAGGCATGGAGAGGGATTGGTTGGAACGTTTTGGGCAGTGGATCAGACGTGCGCGTGCGTGACTGCGTGTGGCGTGGCAAGCGCATCCTGTTGGAATGGCGCCAAATCTCTCGTGTCACTTGTTTTTGCTTGTCGCCTCCGAGGCTTAGCTGTGCTGATGGAGCTCGTGGTTGAGGAGCCCCGAGCTCCTCTGCTCCATGGCTCCACCCACAAGGAGGGACCGTGGGGTGGGAAGCTTTTTTCATTTCGAGAAAAGTCATGGCGGTTTATGGATGTCCTGTAGTTAGATCAAGGTTTAAGATTATTATTAGTTGTAGTATGATGCAAGTGCTGACGTGTCACTTGGTGCTGCTATTTTTTTTGTGGTTAACACAGGAAGGCGCTTACGGCTCTTGCCAAATCCATCTGCTTTGGCATTCAGGACATACCTGGCATCTGTTTCTTTTCTTATGATACATCTTATCCTCAAAAGATTTTGGATTTGGCCTTATGGCATCTACAACCGGACTTAGCAACTCTGGTCCCTCAAACGCCCCGGGCCCTGTCGTGTCCACGGACATTGACAGGTCACGCCTCAAATTTTTCTTCTCACAACCGGACACCTCAATTAATATACCTCAAATTCATACAAACTCATGCAACTACGTAAACGATGCATTACACACATTGTCCAACTACTATATCAGGATATGTGATCGGACTACCAAAAATTGGCATGTTTAACCTACACGGACAAGGTCATGCACGGCTGCCCTTGCCCTTCCCGGCGCCCTTGCCGTCCTTCTCACAGAAGTAGCGGTCGAAGACCTAGTACGGATTGAGCCAGATCTGCTCATTGCCGGAGCTATCCGACCCGTCGTTGTCCTTCTTCTCCTCCTTCGGGGGGGAGGGGGGGGAGGGGGAGGGGGGCAGTCTGGCCATGGCACGGACCGCCCGATTCTACTCTCGGGCGAGGGCACGTGTGTTCCTCCGCCGCCGCTTCTTTACAATGCGGGCGCTGATGGCTTCCTCCTCCGCGGCCGCCCGTGCAACCGCATCAGCCGCCTCCACTGCCACCATGTCGCCAGCGAGACGGGCCTCGGCCGCCCTCATTCCTCTTCTTCCCACGACGGGCACACCGTCCCGGGACTCATACTCCGGTTGGTCGGTGATGGGGAAAGGGAGATTGGAAGGCTCCCAAGAGGACCGCGATGATCTAGCGCCAGAGGATCCGAGCGCCCGATGCGTCGACGCAATGAACTCGCGACGGATACATCCTGCCGTGGGTCGGGCAATGTCCTCCCAAGAGTAGCGAAGTGCAATGCAGACGACCAGTGCCTTCTCCAAACCGCACAAGACGACACCCCCAATCGACGGATCTGTACTGCTCGTCGTCGGATCCGCTGCCCGCCAGGGCAGAGAAGGCCGGAGTTCGCCAGACGGAAGCTCGGGTGGCGGAGGGGAGTGGAGTGAAGTGACTAGGGTTTGGCCCGGGCACTGGATGGGGAGGAATATATGGGGTCGGGTAGGCGAGCGTGGGCTGGGTCCGACGTGGCGGACGCGCCCGAGTGCCCCATATTCGCCCTACATTTAGGCTGGATATGTGGGGTGCCGGTCAGCCTAGGCGTCTGAGACCCGTTTGAGGCGCCTGTCTGGGTCGCTTTTTTGTGACCGGCCACATCAGGCCGTCCGCTCGGGTGTATGAGAGGGTTTGAGGTGCTGGCTGTAGATGCTCTTACCCGATTGAAAAACTTGCTACCTGAGTGGGTACTGCTCCTACATACTCGTATTTCCTAAATGAATGGTGGTCTTTCTCTTTTTACCAAAATTAAACATGTTCATACGATGGGATTCGAAATTGGGTATGGTTTTAAAGTCACCTAGTTTAAACACAGAGAAGAAAATGTTTGCTAACGAGCTCGCTGAAATTCCTACACAAATCTGTTCTTTTTTCATTCATTGCTTTAGTGCATAATGATGCCCATTTACCACTGTAACCAGCAAAGTTCTAGAGCAAGTGTAAAGTGTTTGTTCTCAGATGCGATCTCGTTGTCCAATCTTTTCCTTTCCCCATCGCGAAAGCAACGGCTACAGTGAAGAACCAATCCCCTCTAGGCTCCACAGGTCAGTCCGTCGATTCACCTCCCCTATGTGTGCCATTCTGGAGGCCCATGGCAGGGGAGGGGCGGCCTTGATGCCTCAGCTCCGGCTAGTATAGTTAGGGTTTTTCCGCACTTGCAAGGTCCACGCTCGGACGGACAATGTGACTTCATCTTCGGTCTTTCGGGCTCCGATCCTTCTCGAATTTGTCAGTCAGGATGGAGTCGGAGCACCCTCGTAGATTCTTGTCGTCTCATTGGGGCAACGAGGTGTGGATTGCTCGTTGTGTGTGGGGGACCGCAAGATCTGGTGCCGGTTAGATTGATGCAAAGTTTCAACGACGATGATAGCGGCTCGATGGTGCTAGTCCTTAGAGGAAAATGCATGATTCTTTTTTCCAGGTTGTGATCGACAAGGTCAGGCCAGCTCCCAGTAGGGAAGTGGCGCGTCGATTGTTCATTCTAGCAACAGTAGTGGTTGTTCACTTAGATGTAATTTTACTATGTTTGCAGTGTTTTGTACTACTTCTGCTAAAAAAATTAGAAAAAGAATGATAAACTTTTATAAGCCGGTCTTGTTTGAAAAATAAAATAAAATAAAGGTAAAGTGTTTGTTCTAGAAAAATAGAATGAGTGCAGCATCATCAATTCTGTACTTCCCTCGTGTCTCAGAAGAGAAATGCCACAACCAATCTAATAACGACACAAGCAGGTAACTTTTGGTTGCCCATGCTGACTCAGGTAAAGAGAATATATCCCTCAACAACACGTCAGTTTACTCAACAGCTCCTATCATATTCCACTCATCCATAAAAAGTTTACGACGCGTTTGGTTTGCGCTCAGGTAACGTATTCGACTTGGGTATCGGGAAGCTCCGTCTTCAGACTATTTTTACCGAATACGAGATATGTTTGTTTCGAGCGTTCGGCTCCCGGTTTTCTAATCACCTTCAGTCCCGCCGTTTTCCGCTTCACGAGCGCATGTATCGGAAGACACCGCTACCTAATACATCGTGGGCCTACCAAACGCCGGATTCTGTTTCAGAAAGCGCTGTAATCAGAAGTCGTGACATTTCCGTCGAACCAAACGCGTCGTTAGCTCTTAAGAATGGATCAGTAACTTACCGTAGGTGCCTAGGTAGAGATACTTGTTGCCAAACACACGCCCAATCCTAGCCTCCCATTTGCCGTTGTGGTGATGCCTGCAAAAACATCTCTGAATTCATTTTTTGACGAACAACATCTCTGAATTTCACTGACACATACATACGCGCAGAGTTTTTCTTGCAAGAATCTGAAAAATGTTCAGTACAAATCTTGCAATGAAAGATCAGCTCTACCCTGCGACGCCTCTGTACTTGGACACCCCTCTTGAGAAGCCAGTGCTTTTCCTGCGTAAAAAAAGGAGAGGAACAGACAATATGTAATCATCACAAAACCATAAGGTCAGGATAAATCTTTTGTGTCATTATTACATTTTGCCACGCTGTCTGATCTGATAACAGACAGAACCACTTGCCAAAAATTGGAGTTATTTGTGTACCTCCGGAGCGAGCCGATGTACTCCTCCCTGGACTGCGCCTCATTTCTTTCAACTCTTGGCCGTAGCTAGACAGCTGCAAAATGTTCGTCAGAGTCCAATTAAGAAGTCAGGTACGTGTGCCTGCATTCTGCTAGCTCTAGGCATGCCGCTGGCGGCATCAGTGGATATCATGAGTGGAGTAGTGACTTGGATGCGGTACCGAGAAGTTGAGGACGGTGCCGCGGCCCCAGTACTTGAGCGCCGCCAGGTCGTAGGCGCGCGCCGCCGCCTCCTCGCCGCCGTACGCCCCTGCAACGACGGCCAGCTTTCATATATCTCAACGACGCCAAGACCGATCGGCCGAGGCCTTGGGACAGAGATATAGACTGAGAGAGGCTGCTCTGCTCACCGAGATAAACTTGCCTCCCTTTCTTCTTCCTCTGCGGCTCGGTCCAGGTGTTCTTCTCCCACAGGTGCGCCTCGAACCGCCCCGTCCACCGGTGCCTGCGCCAGCGCGCACGCGCGTACGTCAGTTTCTCTCCGCGCGAGGGAGAATAGAAGATGCAAGAATCGGAAACAGCACTGCGTACCGTGTGACGCCGCGGTACGAGGATGTGCGCTGGGAGGGGCGCCCCCGCCGCACGCTCCTCCGCGTCCGCTCCGGCTTCGGCCGGACGGCGTCCGAGGCGACGTTACCGGCGCCGGCGCCGCTCCGTCGTTGCTTGGCCATTGCGGGGGAGTGAGAGGTCTCGGGGCCGTGGAGGCAAGAGAGCTAGTGGCTAGTGATTAGTGAAACGAAGTTGGCCAAAAATAGGGACAGAGCGCGGGCCGGCTCGGCTCTGCCGTGGATGCGAGAGTGCCAAATGGGATGGGAAGAGGGCCGGCTGGGCTCTGCCGTGGTTTCTCTGTCTGGATTTAGCTATGGCCGCCGGCTTGGTCTCGTCTCGTCCCTAGTCACTGCGAGGCCGTGGACGCGTGGTTGCAGCAGCCACGCCGAGCCCCAAATTCCTTTTGCTGCGTGTGTTCTGAAAGTGTTTTGGAATCATCTTCAGTGGTGTGTTATCGAGCACTCCATTCATTCCCAAAATATATAGAAGTCTTAGCACTCCATCTTTTTTAAAATATAGTACTCCCTTCGTCCCAAAGTAAGTGTTTCTGATTTAGCACGAAGTTAGGACGAAGGTAGTACGTATAAAAATTTTAAATTCAAACTTCATAAATTTTGATCAAGTATATCATGAATATATTTTCATATGGTATATTGTAGATACAAATAATTTTACCTATATATAAACTTGATCAAAGTTTTGAAGGTTGACTTTCGCAAAAAGGGCTTGCTAAGTCGACTAAGTATCATTCGAATGCTCAACCGTTGAATTTTTGCATCAAGATTCATGCTGGACCGAGCACCATCCAATGGACATCGCGGCATTTTTTTCACACCGTTTGCAACATATATTTTTACCGATTGCAGCACCACCATTGCTGGTTGTAGCATGTCATCTCGCCAGTCACAAAATCCGCCCTCGTCGTTCGTAGCATGTCGTCTCAGCGGTCACAACATCCGCCATTGACGGTTATAGCATTTTGTCACACCGGGTGCAACATTAGTTGTTTTTTCTTACAAAATTATCGCAACATTTTTTGTTGCCGATTGTAGCATCTACGTGCAGCCCATAGCAATACAACTACGCTGACATCACTTGACCGAGACTTTTTTAAATCTCAATTGACTGAGTTCTAGACACACCCTCCGCAAAAACTAATGTGCACGATATTATAGAACAGATGGAGTGTTTCGTAGGGGCACGGATAATTAATTATAGAGAAAAGCATAAACTGTGCCTCACAGTGTGTCCTATAGCAAAGTAAAACCTCACAACGGTGGACTACTTGGATCGCCTACTTGCCATCGTTTTTTCTTCACCTAGCATGTTCACCCCTTTGTGCGAGTCAGCAAGAAAGACCCCCAAATCCCATCCCGAATCATGTTCCTTCCCCTCACATCATTTCATCGCCTAACACTGTCACTAGATTCACCGGTTGCCTCCCTGCTTGCGAAGGCTTGATAAAAAATGGATTGTGTTCCGCCACCTTCACACCGAGCATCACGACGGTCGTTGGTTTCTGCCGCTCTGTGTTGTCCGTCACAACCATCACCGTGTTGTGCGTTGCTACCCTCCACGTCCCCACTAGGCACGGTAATAACCCTCAATCCCCGTCACCTTTGTGGGGAGGGGCCCGACCTCCTAACCCACCGCTAAAACAACATTGATACATCGTGTTGGGCATTCACAATGGCAACCGCGTGAAAATCATGCTGAGCCATATGGTTATGGGTGACCTTCAGGATTTTAGGCATGTATTTGGCTCCATCAACTTGTATAATAGGATACCAAACCACGAAAATGCCGGTCTACACCCGTGCTCATATGCTCTTGTCAAACCACTATTTAGTTACCGAACCACCGGAAAGAAAGATCAAGAGCACGAAATAAAGTCTTGAACACCACCAAATCATGTCATGTTGAATGTTAGGCGGTAATTAATAAGACCTAGAGCCATAGATCAGCAAGACCAAAATATCATGGGCACTCCAGCTTCGGCCATGATGCCACACAAAAATGTGTTTGCTTGATTGTGAACCCTATTTTGTGCCTTATGCGTAGAATAGTCAACCTAAGGCTCACGTTGTGGGCACCCAGGGCAAGGACAATATCCTGTTTTTAGTCGGTTTTAGTGTCTTTCTCCCGTTCATTTCTCGGTGTTTTTCTTCTTCATTCTTATTTTTACCTGATCCACCTTTTTAACCCTTTTTAGATATTATATATATATATATATATATATATATATATATATATATATATATAGATACTATTCATCATCCAGGATGCAGAATAAGTTATTCTTCACCCGAGGTAATCTTACGATCTTTTTGTTATATAATCGTTTTTAAGACTTGGACCTTCCTAAAAATGCGTAAAACAATTCAGTACATATACATGAATAATTTTTAAATACATGGTACACATTTAAAAAACTCCATAGTTTGTGAAACATGTAAGGAAATACAAAAATATAATTTTCTTTATACATGAACGTTTTTCAAATTTGCATTGCATATTTACGTATGAAAAATTTAGAGTAAAACACACTAGAGGTCCTAAAAGTATTCCAATTGTGTCAAGTAGGTCCTAAAAGTTTGAAATCGTTCACCGCGGGTCCTAAATGTGTGTATGTCGTTCAATGGGGTCCTAAAAGTATTTCAAGTGTGTCAAGTAAGTCCTAAAAGTCGCGGGTAAAATACACATATAGGTCCCACGGTGAATGATTTCAAACTTTTAGGACATACTTGACACATTTGAAATACTTTTAGTACCTCCAGTGTATTTTACTCTTTTTGTAAGCTTACTATGTGAACTTTTTTATTTTCTGGAGTCAATTTTTATTTTGAAAACTGATCAAAAATATTTTTGATATTTGTAAAGTAAAAATACTATTTACTAATTTTTTGTCGGAACAGCTTAAACCAAGTGGTGATGGTGGTTGAACTGTCTGGGGCTCTGGGCTCTAGTCCAACATCACAAGCCCTTAGGCCGAACAGCGAGCCCGTAAGGCCCAGCGCCGACCCCAGCCCACCAGCAGCTAGCATAAAAAACAAGGCGCTCTGCGGCGCGCGCGCACCGTTGTCTCACCACCGGCCGGGCTCGCTGTCGACGCGTGCGCGCAGCTGCACGCGACGCCTCTCTTTCTCTGCTTGGCGCGCTCGCTACTGCCTTCCGTATTGCAGTCTACGTGCGATGCCTCACCACCGGCCGGGTTCTGTACCTGTGCGTGGTGTGCTGATGTTTAATTAGTACCACACCGCTAACGTAGCGTAGCACCTCGCCACATATAAGGTGAGGCTCGGGAGCCTGTTACACCCCGTGCGGCACGTACGGGTTAAAGCAAATAAACCTAGCAAATATCCAGAATACGGTGAGTACTACACTATGATTCTAACCCGTGGCACCCGCTGTTGAATTACCCAAACTAATGAACAACAAACAGTGTCTTCCTTTGCAGGTGGTGGCCTTTTTTTTGGTACTGTTATTATTTCCATGTTGCGCTATGTGATTGATTATTATCATCACTAAGGCATGTCGTGTCGAGCCCTATCAAAGGCATTCATAAGCTCAAGAAAAGAAGCCAAAAATTAAGCCTTTTTTTTTGTTTTTCTATATTATTTTTATGTTGCACTTTGTGATTGATCATTGCCTACCTCAACTTGTTTGGGATTAAAGGCTTTGTTGTTGTTGTTGTTGTTGTTGTTGTTGTTGTAGTTGATCATTGTTACCACTTAAGGCATATTCAGCCCTAGCAAAGGCTATTTCATAAGCTCAAGAAACAATCCAAAAGTTACGCACCTTGAGCAAGACCCTCTTTGCAAACTCAAAGGTCCCACTTCACATGGTCTCGAGGTCATCATCCTTCACCTAGATATGGCACAACAAAAAAGGAGCTTAGTCCGGAAGAGAGAGACCTTCGCAAAAGACTTAAAAAGAAGGATCATTAGATTGGTTGTGCTTGAGAAAGCTAGGAAGCGACAAACCTTAAAAAAACTAAGAAAAGGAGATGCCAACACATGCTTTTCATCTTTGTGTCAACCGTAGAAGGAGGAAGAATCTCATTAATCGTCTCAAAGACAATAATGGTTGGGTTACCAAACATGGGCACAAGGAAAAGATTAGGGAAACGCTTCGAGCCGGCGGACCGGCTGAAACTTGCGCCGGTCGTTCCCACACGCACGCGCACTACCAAGGGACCTCACGCACCACACGCTTGCACTACATTATCCATCCCTGCCTTATCCATTGTAACACCTCGGGTGTAACTTGCCATATTTGTAACTCTGACTCTGCCATTTTCGGCTTTAAGTTATGAGATTTCCTTTCGTGGTTCAGTTTTTGTCTTCGTTGTGCATTTTGTTCATGTCATGCATTTCATATCATGTCATCATGTGCATCGCATTTGCATACGTGTTCACCTCATGCATTCGAACATTTTCCCCGTTGTCCGTTTTGCAATCTGACACTCCTACGTGCACCAGCATACCCCTTTTGTCTCTTTTCGAGAGCGGGTGTTAAACATTCTCGGAATGGACCGAGATTTGTCAAGCGGACTTGGTACACTACCGGTAGACCGCCTGTCAAATTTCGTTCCGTTTGGAGTCCGTTTGATACTCCAACGGTTAACCGGGTAACCGCGAAGGCCTCTTATGTGTTGCAGCCCAACACCCCTCCAAAACGGCCCAATAACCCATCCAAACCACTCCCATGTCCTCCGTCGTCGAATCACGATCGTGTGGGAGAAAACTACACTCCTTTTGGACAGTCCTACCTATAAATATGTGCACTCCTCCGAAATTTCGGGTCCAAACCCTAGAAAACCTCCCCCCGCCGTCACCGGACATGTCCGCCCGCCGCCGGACGAATTCCGCCGCCGCCCGCTCCAGTGAGAAGGAGACATGTGGCATTGCGCCACCCGCCGCCGCCGCGGCCCGCGCAGCCCGC